ATACATAAATAAGAAAATTAATTAAAAAATAAATTAATAAGGGCACAATAGTCTTTTTAGGTAAGACAAGACCAAGCGCGCCACAAAAATAAACAGTAGAGACCATCCGAGTTAAAAAAAAAAGTTAGAACCAAACACCCAAATTACTCCAAACCATAGGGACCATTCATGTAATTTACTCTTACATTTTGGGTAACTTTTTTTTTTATACATCTAGGTAGGGAACTTGTTGAAAGTGTTCACATACGATCATTATGGCCGGATGTAAAATGCTAAAGTCGGTCATAATAGTCATATAAAGACGTTTGTAAAAAGTTCGTTATTTAGATGTGTACAAAAAAAAGTTAACTAGATGTAAACAAAACGAAAAATTGATTACCTTAATAAGTCAATTCCCCTAAGTTTTTTCAAGACGTGTGAACTGTTGCTTGCCACCGATAAAAATCAAGTTATTTTATATTAAAAAGTAATTTTTTGAATGTCATTAAAAATGTCAAATAGTCAACTTTGTCAATGTAATTAATATTTTGTTTATGAGATTGAACTTTTCCCTTATTTACAAATTTTCTATAACATTTTTTTTATCTAATCAATCTAATGATAATGAATGGAAACTTAAGATCGAATAACACGTTTGCCATTTCAAATCATATACCATAATAAAGAATCTCAAACCAATACATCACTTAATATAAAACCAAACTCCATTAAATTGCTCAATTGATTTGTTTTTGTCGAACTATGCATAGCTTTATAACGAAAACTTAGTATCTCAATTTTTTCCTTTTATGAATAGTAGGTCCTAGACACAATAGAGTCTTTATTTGTTTTCTTTAATTAAAAACAGAAAAAATTACTTTAAACAATGGATAAAGAAATAGAAGAAAAAAGGGTAGCATGGTCAAAACTAAAAAGAAAAAAAGAGAGTTTGAAATGGGTGAGTGGCAAAATCGTAAATATCAGTGAAAACGACAAACAAAACCATTGGGTGGCCGTTCATGGGCTAAAATCATCCCCACCCATTTTCTCTATCGTACCCTCTTCACTGCTTCACACACAGACACACTTCTTTCTTTTTCAGCATTTCTCCTTCACCCCTCGTGTTTATAAATCCAAAATACACTGAAAATCAATCTAGAGAGAGAATCTTGAAAGAAAGAGAGAGAAAGAGATAGCCACACTTTGAGCTTATTAGGAGGTGCGTAGGATAAGCAGAGTGACTCTGTGTGTTGCTTAATCATGGTGGATGTAAGTATCAGCGGGAGCTTGTAGTTGGGAAGACAAAAAGCTTTTTCTCTCTCGCTTCTGGGTTTGGTTTCTTTTCACAGCTTTTGAAAATGGCAGTCGCGTATTTTAGCAGAAGCCGGAAGAGAATAGGGCTTAATAATGGAGTTTTCCTGTTCATCTTCATCGTTTTGAGTCTGACCTCGCTATCTTGCGCTGCTCGACAACCACCAGCTTCCAGGCAGAAGCTTCAAGTTCATAAACACCTGAAACGCCTCAACAAACGCCCAGTTAAAACCATTGAGGTTCGAATAACTTCAAATTATTCGTTTATTTTCTTTTAGTTTCTTCTTCAAGCGTTTAGAAACTGAAAATTTCAGTAATAAGGATTAATGAAGAACACCCCATGTGTTCAATGTTCATACATTTTGCTTCTTTCACTTTACAGAAAACCCTGATTTGTATCGATTTTATGACAATTATTGCTAATTAACAGTTGATTTGATTATTATTTGTATGATTTCTCAGAGTCCAGATGGCGATAAGATTGACTGTATACACATCTCTCATCAACCAGCTTTCGATCATCCATTCCTCAAAGACCACAAAATCCAGGTTCCTCTTTCACTCTAATGATGTCGATTTCATTACATCATTCACAAAACTTCTCATTATTAACTTCTCCTTTTCGATTTCGTTCAGATGAGGCCAAATTATCATCCAGAAGGGCTTTACGATTCCGAAAAGGTCAAAACAGAGTCGAAAGAAAGAGAAAACTCAATCCATCAACTATGGCATGTTAATGGCATGTGCCCTGAAGATACAATACCCATTCGAAGAACAAAAGAAGACGATGTTCTTCGAGCTAGCTCTGTGAAAAGATATGGGAAGAAGAAGCAATCAAGCATTCCTTTACCTCGGAGTATCCCCAAATCTGCAGATCCTGATCTTGTTAATGAAAGTGGACATCAGGTAATTAAGTGCGAAATTATTGAACTTAAAAAAATTAAAAAAAAAATACACAATTTTCAATCTTTCTGACAAGAATTAAAAAACCCATGTTCGTTTTGTACCAATTTTCAATGGGTATGTTTTCTTTTTCAATTTGAATGTAACATAACATAACCTTTTATGACTCAAGTTTAAATGCATTTTATTGACTTTTGAGTGTGTATCTTTTTGGATTTTAACTGATTTAAAATGTTGTTTTTTATTGTGTTCTTTATGACATGTGTAGCATGCGATAGCTTATGTTGAAGGAGACAAATTTTATGGAGCAAAAGCTACGATGAATGTTTGGGAACCAAAAATACAACAATCAAATGAATTTAGCTTATCGCAAATCTGGATTTTAGGTGGTTCTTTTGGTGAAGATCTCAATAGTATTGAAGCTGGATGGCAGGTATAAATAAATAAATAAATAAATAAATTAACAAACAAACAAATAAATACGTTACAATCTTGTTGAATATGATGTTAAAAATGTTCGATTAATTTTCAGGTGAGTCCGGATCTATATGGCGATAATAACACACGACTTTTCACTTATTGGACTGTAAGTAACGAATTTTTAAATCTAAATAAATATATTTTGATGAAATTAAATGGGAATTTATTTAACTTTTTGGAATATTTAATTTTGTAGAGTGATGCATATCAAGCGACTGGATGTTATAATCTACTATGTTCTGGATTTATTCAAATCAACAACAACATAGCAATGGGTGCAAGTATTTCCCCTGTTTCTGCGTATAGGAATTCACAATATGATATAAGTATCCTTGTCTGGAAGGTAAATTACAAAATTAACCCACTTACCTAAAAGCCCACTAATTAATTTTTAATTACTTTAAAGATAGCACTCACTCGATTTTACTTATTATTTAATTGGTGAAAATGGTCTTTATTCCTTATAAAGAAAAGGTGTCACTTTTTTTATATATTTTTTCATTTTCTTGAACTGAAAAAACAAAGGTCTTTCAGAAGAATATAATCTTTGGAACAAATGCTGTGAGCGAATCTTTGTGATTATCATCTAAATGACCCAAATTAGTGGTCCTATTTAACATTTTTTTTTTAAATCTCTCAATTGTGAAATTACTTTTTAGTCGCAACATATAAACAATGTCATGATGTAATTGCGAATATGATTTTTATTTATAAAATTTCTCTTTTAAGTTCTTTCTTGTGGTTAGGGACCATTTATAAAAACAATTTTGTAAGTTGTAAATTATTAAGTGGATGCTGAATTTATTAAATGTCACATCCATATCATATTTGATCATCTTCTTAGAAAATGGGTATTAAATTCATGGTTGATTTATAGAAAATTTTTGTAATTTCTAAATTATTAAAATTGGTAAATTATCTTCTTAATAAATGGTTTATCTTTTTAAAAAATGGTTACGACCATTTATAAAACAATTTTGTAATTTGTAAACTCTTAAATTGGTGGTCAATCTATTAAATGTCACATCATATTCTCACGTTAATCGAAATTGTTTAAATTAATTAATCTACTAAAATAATCGATTTATGATAAATATTCAGGATCAAAAAGAGGGAAATTGGTGGATGCAATTTGGGAATGGATACGTATTGGGATACTGGCCATCGTTCTTGTTTTCATATCTCGCCGACAGTGCTTCCATGATTGAATGGGGAGGAGAGGTGGTGAATTCAGAGCCTGACGGGCAGCACACATCGACTCAAATGGGCAGCGGGCAGTTCCCCGAAGAAGGATTCGGGAAAGCAAGCTATTTCAGGAACATTCAAGTTGTTGATAAAGAAAATAATCTAAAAGCTCCTAAAGATATCGGCACTTTCACAGAGCAATCCAACTGTTATGATGTTCAAACTGGAAGCAATAGTGATTGGGGTCACTACTTTTACTATGGAGGCCCTGGTAAAAACTCAAATTGCCCTTAACCCTAAAAAAAACCCTAAATCTGAAATCTACCTATGTTATATAATTTTCTTTTTTTTTTGTTTTTCTTTTTTCTTTTGGTTTTTTAGTTGGGTCAATTTGTAGGGTTTAGTTTGGTACATGTGATGACCTTTTTATGTGGTAGGTAGTTTTGGGTCTTTTTTGAAAAAAAAAATATTTTGTGGGTTGAATTTGAAAAGTTCTCTTAATTCAAAGTGAATGAAGGGATGTTATGTGGCAATGGTAAAGTCTCTGAAAAGTATGAGTCTTGCTATAGTTTCTTTTTGGATTTTTGCTATTCTTGGAGAAGTTTGTTAATGATAAAGTTGGTTGGGCTTTTGGGTTTAGTTGTATGAAAGTTAAGGGGTTGAACTTGTAAACTTTCGAAAAAATGGAGGGTATTTTTGTTTCATTCTATAAACTTCAGGGATGACTGTTGACAAAATATGTGTTGGATGTAAGCTGCACGTGAGTGCATGACACAAAACCTTTATTGTATGTGTGGCCTTTGTTGCATCAGGCCAAGTCAGAAATTGTTCAAAACCTACCCTAAAGTTTCAACTAGTGACACATCATACCCTTTCTTTTGTCCTTCTCGTATGTATGTTTTTCAATCCATATGATTCCCCTCATGTGTTCATATGTTGTTTTTGACGATATTTCTTCACTTGTGGGTCCACGTGTATCACGTGTAATAAAATGAATATACGGAAAGAGTTTCATGCTACAAAATATTGCCAATTATTAGACAAAATATTTAGCTAACAAACGGATGTGAATTAGTACTAAGAACCTAGTATGGAAAATGAATCCAACAAATTCATCAAGCACAAATACCCAAACTATCTAGTGATGATGTATTGTAATAGAAGATGAGGATGTTTCATATTTAGACGAGAGAAGATAAGAACAGATTCATATTCAAAAGAGAACTTGAATGAGACGATTGCAAATGTGTATTAAACACTAAGAATCAAAGTTATATAAAATATGACAAATAACCTCCATTTCACACCTAATGGCACTCGAAATCACCCAAAATCGCTCCTCTTGAACGAACCCCATCAATTTTATATGTATACAAGGACTCTAGGAGTAAAAACCAACCCGATACACGGTCATGTCCCAAAATGAAAGGGAAGTGGCATGGCCGTATAAGGTTCTGGATTGGACTGGGCTCGACTTACCTGTGTCTACATTGCCAAGAACACTGGCTAGCCGTATAAGTTTTAGTGGAATCAAACCCCTCAAGGAAACAATTCGTGTGGAACAAAGGCAATGGAACATTGAAACCTTACAGTTGTGTTGCCACTCTTGATCGATGTCCGATTTGAGACCACCATAATATTCGAACAAGGGCTCTAACTTGGGTACAAAGTGACTTGCATGATTTTAAGTTTTTTTTTATAATCACTTAATTCATTACAAAGATGTCCTTACACATATATTTGTTTGCACAATATTATAAACCTCTAGAAGGATATTGAATGACTATATTTTTAAGAAACATATCCTTTTCGTTCTTGCATTTATGTTTTCGGGAGACAGCAAGCTTAAACAAGGCTTTCCCTTTTTATTTGTATTCATCTTGTAATCATGTTTTAGACTTTTAGTTCTCTAATGCAATAAGAGATTATAAACAAAATATAACATGTTTTCTCTATTGATTGTGATTTTAGCTTACAATCCAAAGAAAACTAAGCCCTATATATAAGCATGATGTGATAACCCTAGGATAAAGATAAATATAGAAAGTACAAGATAAGGAAATATAATCACAATCCTATATGAAGTCTAACATCACCCAAACGTTAAGATTGCACTAGAGGCCAACTTAAGTTTGAAAATGGGAGGGTGCATTAGTGCTAGAATTTTGGGACGAAGGTTTGTATGGTGATCTTAAAGATGTAAATAAATGGTAGACAGAGATGGTAGATGTCTAGGGTATATGTGGGCAATGACAGGCATTGCTAAACGGTAGATGATGGGTAATTGGCATAAATGTAGACCATATACATAAAGAGTAAACATAAATAATAAACGTATCGATAGGAGGTAGGCGGTAGACCTTGACAAATAGTAGATGGTTGAGGAAGTTACGATATTTTTTTGGAGTTCTATCAAGGAAGTTACTATATTTTTTTCCGTACGTTATCCAGTGCACAAAATTATGTTTGGTGGTCTAAAAAACTAATTTTGGAACAACTTCAATCTGAATTATGGAGCGACCCATAAATCAAAAAATAATGTATTATATATTTCTGGTAAACTATAGGTGTGTAGATTCCAATGAAAAAATGACAAGTCTTTTGGAGTTTTGTGGAGGAGGTTATGACGTTTTTGTCACAGGTTGTCCATTGTACAAAAAGAAATGTTCGGTTTTTTGAAGAAAAAAAAAATACTTTTTAACCTAATTCAAGAGGAAGTATGGAACCATATAGGAATAAAAAAAAAGAGTAAATTACACGAATCGTCCATCGTCCAGGTGCCAAAAAGCACGTTCAGTCCCTATTTTCAAAAATTAACTCAGACCGTCCCTGAATAATTATTTTTTCACTCGGGTCATCCCTGCGGACATAAAATTACTCTTTTACCCTTAATAATTTCTTTTTTATTTTTTTATTATTCATTTATAAATTTTTTTAGATTTAAAAAAAAAAATTAAAAACCCCACCCATCAACCCACCCCTCCGGCTCCCCCTTCCCCTTCGTTTTCCCCTTTTCCTTCTACCTCATTGAAACCAGGTCACCAGATGAAGAACACCACTCCCTCTGTGTTTTCCGTTCGCCGCCTCTGCACACCATTCATGAAGTCACCGGCAACCATGAAGCTGCCGACAACCACAACCACATATTTTCTCTTTCTTTCTCTTCCATCGCCGCAACAACCATCGCCGCCTCCATCTCCGTTCGAAATCATCATCACCCTTCATCTGCGCTCCACCATAACTATGTTCTTCCTCACCCTCACATGAAAAAATGGAATAAAGGATCTGCTATTTTTCGCTTCCATCTCCATTTGAAACCCTAGCTCCACCTCCATCTCAGTTTGAAACCCTGGATCTGAGGTACATTCCGCCGGAGTATTACGAGAGAGAGAGAGAGAGAGAGAGATAGAGAGTTTTGTGTTGAATAAAACTCAACAGAGTTTCAACCTTGAAGAAATCGAGTTTGCCATTGTTAACCTCTTTGGAAAAAATTGAATCTACCACCACCTGGAGTGTAGATATGTGAAGAGGTGGTGATGGTTGGTGTTTCTGTCTCTCTTACTCTAGCTACTCTAGCTGGTGTTTCTACAGGACCTGAAGGTCGATGATGATGACTTAAGGAACACTAAGAAGAAGGAGGGAATAAGGGGCCGTCGACAGTTTTTTTGAGAGACAAAGAGGTGGTGGTCGACGGTGGTGCGTGGTGGTCCGGTGAAGGTGCGCGGTGGTCTATGGTAGTCTGCGGTTGTCCGGTGGTGGTGATGATTTTGCTTTAGGGAAAGTGATTTTTGAAGGGAAGGGGTTAGATAAGGTGGGTGGGGTGGGGTTTTTATTTTATTTTGTATATTTTTATTAATTGCAAGAAAAATAAAATAAATCAAAATAAAATAAAAAGGGCAAAATAGCCATTTCATGTCTCGTAACAGATGAAACGTGTAAATTTAAACTAACGAGGGATGACATGTGCAACTTTTAACCAAACGAGGGACAGTCCGAGTTAATTTTTGAAAATAGAGACTGAACATGCTTTTTGGCACATGGACGAGGGACGATTCGTGTAATTTACTCTAAAAAAAATCATGTATTATATGTGTTTGGAAATCTCTAGATATGTAGTTTCTAATGAAAAAAAGGGCAAGTCTTTTGGAATTTTATGGAGGAATTTATGATGTTAATACCACAAGTCTCGGTCAACAAAAAAAATATTTGGTGGTCTAAAAAAATATTTGTATGTATATAGGATGCAAGCTGTCTGTATGTCTATTGCATGTGTTTTTATGTATATTGGGTGGGGTCTGATGAATGTGTTGAGCGGGGCCCACCACATCTTACTGATATATCTGTACCGAGTGGGGTCCGATGCCAGGCAGGGCCCGATGTAGGGCGGGACCGATTGTATGTATTAGGGATGTGCGCGGTGCGGTTTGGTGCGGTTTTGAGCCAAAACCGCAAACCGCACCGCATATACGGTTTGAGTTATTTAGAAATCACAAAACGCACCGCGAACGTTCTAAACCGCATCATGCGGTGCGGTTTTGTGCGGACGGTTTATGCGGTTTAAATGCGGTTTTACGGTTTAACTAATTATTTACTTTAAATTAAATGACAATACATTGTCGTCACTAACGACTTACTAAGCGGCCATTAAAATATTTGGTGGTCATAGAATTGTAGTCTTTAACTACTTATCAATATATACAAGTTAAGAAAACATAATGAAATAATGGTCGGTGAATGTTAGTTGAAAATGGATTTGTGACAAAAAAAAATATGGTCACTGACTTTTAGATTAATTAAATTTAAAGAAATATTGATTACATTCCAAAAACTTAAGATAATGCCACTAATTTAAGATGAATTGAAGTAGTAAATGTTATAACTATCAAAATATTTTCGTGTGTATATATATATATATATATATATATATATATATATATATANCTGATTTTATCAATGCGGTGCAGTTTAAACCCTCAATTTTGTAATCGTAAACCGCAAACCGCACCGCATAATGCGGTTTAACAGAAATACAAACCGCACTGCGATTGTTTTAAACCGTGTTATGCGATGCGGTTTGGTGCGGTACGGGCGGTTTATGCGGTTTGTGCGGTTTATTGCACACCCCTAACGACAATGTATGGTATGTGGTTTTTGGGGAACTTACTAAGTTTTGTGCTTGCGATTTATGTTTAAATGTTCTTCAGGTACTTCCGGTTCAAAAGGGAATGACCCTACATGATCGCATCGCATCCATCTGTGTTCAACATTTTATGATTTTGGGATTGTGCTTTGATAACTATTTTTTGTCACACTTTAATGGTTTAAAATTAATGCTTGATGGTCTTGGTTGATTTAAAAATAAAAATTTTTACTTAGTATTTTTGGGATGTTACAAATTTGGTTGGTACAACTAAAATTGCTATTAAAATAGAATCGCAGAAATCATGGAAATGTATTGTAGGAGCTCTGACTCTTGAGAGATTTTCGATGATGTATTGTAGGCCTCAAAATTCCTTACGGATTAAAAGTATTTTTGGGCTTCTTTTTGCCACGTTTGTCTTTCTCTCACTTCTTCATAAACACCTCTACCCACCCGATACGCATCAACTTCTTACAATGTATGGCATGTATGTTGTTTCCGATAAGTATCATGTCATAAAATCAAGACCAAAATGACAATTGTGCTCCGACTAACATCCTTTCAAACACAATGCTTATTTGGTGCTTGATAAGAACAAACTCTTATTTTTCACCAAAATGCAGATTCTAGCTCTGAGATGCTTTTTATTCCGAATATGAATTTATTACGCTTGCAGTCCTTATGAAGGTGCTTTAGATTAATAAAACCATCAGGCTGTCTCATAATTCAAATCTAGGACAAATAAAAGAGTCAACTTCCACCCCTCCTTTTTCCAAATTAATTCTCAAAGTAAATCGATCCAAAAAAATTCTCCAACTAAAGATGTTAGCTTTATGAAAAAAAAAAATCATTCCATTAAATTGCTTAAGTTCCAACTTCTTAAGTCTCATATCAATATATCTCCTTGACGAAGCTACCATGAAATCTATCACATATTCTAAATCCCAATCTACATGTCCGGTTGATATGATAAGATAAATAATATCCCATAGGGCTTCATAATGAGTGATTTCCACCCCTCTTGGATCTTAATGAAGAAATCCATGCTTCACGAAATAATTTCTATTATCTTGTAGATAATGTAATAACACGAAACGCAATTGAAGTGGAAGGTCACCAAACCAAATCTCCTTCCAAAAGCTAGTAGTAAATTCGTTACCCATTTTCTTACGGAAAAAGAAGTAATATCAATTTATTTGTCATGTAAATGATTAAGGAAATTAATAATATTTCTCAAAACTCTAAAAAGTTAAACATGTTTGCATGCAAGCCACCATCCAATCCATGAATAAGCTTGATAACTGAAATCCATATAGAGTTCGATTCATTAAGAAATTGCCACTACCACTGAAAAAGAAGATCACGATTAAAAGCCAAGAGACTTCCAATTTCTAAACCATCTTATTCTTTAAGAGCCAATTACATGCCTCCATTTGACCCATCAAATTTTATTTTCTCGCAACTCACCTCCCTAAAAATTCATTATCATAAATTCTAATATTCTATATAACTTTGAAAATACTTTATGGGGCTTTAAAATTGATAGGAAATAAATAACAAAGACTTCCAAGAACTGATAGATAGTTATTTTTAAGAACCTAGTCGGGTGGTTCCATTAAAAATAAGGTGCTAATTTGGAAGTAAGAGGTATTAAGGCACAAACAGCAAAATGTCCTCTTTGTAAAGGGGAAAAAGAAACAGGTTATCATCTATTGATTCAATAATGTGACAGATTTTATTGATTTCTCGACAAACTGGGGAAATTGCCCACGGAAAAAGGAACTGATTAATACGGTTGTTTATGGACTATTATGGTTCATATGGGTGGCAAGAAACAACATGATCTTTAAACAAATGCATATGAGCCCTGCAAAGATAGCAGATGAGGTGATTTCCCAAACATATGCATGTTTTAAGTATAGAATTGTTGGTGTTAAGGTTAGGTGGATTGATCGGAGTATATCTCCATTTTGTTAAAATCTCTATAATTTGTTATTTCTTTCTTTGTAATTGCTCATGATTTAGCTACTTGCTAATCATGTAGCCCTTTTATTTTATATCATTTGCCGTTTCCAAAAAAATAATTCCTACTTACTTGCAATTAAATTTGGGATCGGAAGCTAGATATGTTAGCTTGGTTTTATATGTTATCGCCTTGTGGGTATGCAAAATGACCATATCTTTCTTGCGATTATATCATTTTTCATAATTCTCTGTACTCTTCTTCACATTACATATTTACTCGTATATCTATACAATAACATGATGCAAATGAAATGGAACTCATGGACTAAAAGTTATAAATGGTCATCTCACATAGTCAAATTGCATAATCAACGCAGTCATTACAGCTTCAATTACCTTTTTCTATAAATTGTAGCTTTTGGATGGAATAGTAATGATGTTAAACCGTTTTTCGGGTAATAAAAAGGTTTACATATGCAATTATCATTGCTTCAAGTACAATTTATTGCATGATAACCAACTTAATTTGAAACCAGTGATGGAAGAAAAAGGTATGTGAGAATTATAGGGATGAGATAACTTTTTTGTTTGTCCATGAAATACTGATTAATGCAATCCATAACTTCTGGTCCCATGGGATATGGGATCCAAGGCTATCTGTCATTGGACCCACTCATTTTGATTCATATAACTCCAAAACAAAATTATTTAACAATTTATTTATACCTAAAATATGATTGATAAAACTAGGTGAGGTAGAATAAGTTGTTATTTGGTAATAGGAAGCTGAAATTTGTAGATTTATTATGTATACATATGTTTGGTAAAAATAACTGAAAAATATTAAAAATATAAAATCATATGAAAATTAATTTTGAAAAGCTTCTAAAAGCTATTCAGAAGTAACTTTTGTATTTTGTAACTAGAAGTAACTTTTGTATTTTGTAACTCTTGTAAGATGATGCAAAAATTTAGAATTTTAACATTTTATAACCCAAGTTCAAAAAAGATAAGTAAGAAAAAACATGTTTTGCTAATAGATTTATAGGGTGTTTGAATGTATGAGTATAATCAATGGTTAATGATCTATTACAAAAGTTTCAGTTGCTAAAATAACAATGTTTTAGAAATCGGTTTTTTGGTTGACCCGATATCGTGTCCAAGTCACTGATCAACTAGTTCAACTGTTTGGTCAATCTGGTTTTCAAAATTTTCATTAATTTTATATATATTTCTTCATTGATTTGCATCACAAAAATCATAGATCAAGTTCAAATACACAAAAACAGAAATATTATAAAATATGATACATAAGATGCCTTGCTTACCATCTACCTATTGTAATAAGTATTCTAATAAATGAAACTTAAAAATACCACATGTTTATGTTTAACATGCCTCTTTGACATGTGATATTTTTCTATGAATTCTACAATTTCTTTATCTTGGTAACAAATCAATTTCAATTCAAATTTTAAAAATACAAAATCATATCCTAATAACATTTTCGAAATATATTAAATGTATTATGTTTATTTTACTTAACAAATTAATTCAGAATTACTTACAATCGATATATATATATATATATATATATATATA